TGTGTGTCAGGGATGTCATTCTCCAGGAGTTTGTGACCGGTGATCACAACACCACGCATAAGCAACCATTATGACACTTGAAATCGCACAATGTATAGGTAAAAACATATCCTGCTTTAGTGAAAATTTCAATAGTATACGCTAATAAGACATAATTAATGTTTTAGAGATGTTATACAACTGTATATTCTGTAGGCAAATTCTGTACAACTGTATATAGGCAAATGGAGAAAACTAATTAGGAATTCAAAAAGAAAACTCCACACTACCTACCTGTACGGTCCACGCCAGATATTGCCTTTACCCGAGCAATTACGTACTGGTAAATGCAGATAACAGACGGTGTCCATAGGTTATCTTCATCTTCTTTCTGCACACAAATTTATCTGAGCAATGTTTTTAAACATCCGGTGATCATTAACAGCGGAACTTGAACATTCAGTTCAAAATCTAAAATGTGCAAATTTAAAAATGTATGATTTCACAATACATGTATAAAGTTAAGTGGATTTGGGGGTGTCACGATGTTGCTTTTGCGCATAAAGTTGTACCTACCATCTCAAGTAACAGTGAAATGGTATACTGTAAAAGTAATTATTTTAGCGGTTCCTAATTTCCCCAGAAGTCCTAAAATGGTCAATTTCACGGATTTTTTCCCCGCGGATTTCAGGTGTAGAGTCATTGGTACAAGGTGCTGAAGTAGGGATTGATTAATTTGCTTATTATTTCGAGGATGCATCTTTTGCGGGGAAATTGGTACCGCGAAAATCACAAATAGTATAACCCCGCGGATACTCGGACTATTTCAGATTCAACAGTATGTTAACAGTGTGGAAGTCAATAAACCTCGATGTGTTACAGTCATGAGAAAGTAATATTCAGATGTCACCTGCGTTATTTTTGGAAACAAAATATTCTTGAGTCTAATTTCAGTGACTCGAAGCAATTGCACGAGTAATAATGTTACACAACAATTTGAATTCAACTTAAAATCCGATCACTATCATGCATCGCGTCTGTTTTGTTTGTTGACCTGGTGAAACATGTTATCTAGCTGCTCTGTACGTGTATCTCTTTATACAAACCTAGTTGTACGTGTATCTCTTTATACAAACCTAGTTGTACGTGTATCTCTTTGTACAAACCTAGTTGTACGTGTATCTCTTTGTACAAACCTAGTTGTACGTGTATCTCTTTACAAAAACCTAGTTGTACGTGTATCTCTTTATACAAACCTAGTTGTACGTGTATCTCTTTATACAAACCTCGTTGTACGTGTATCTCTTTGTACAAACATAGTTGTACGTGTATCTCTCTATACAAACCTAGTTGTACTTGTATCTCTTTGTACAAACCTAGTTGTACGAGTATCTCTTTATACAAACCTAGTGGTACGTGTATCTCTTTATACTAACCTAGTTGTGCGTGTATCTCTTTATACAACCCTAGTTGTACGTGTATCTCTCTATACAAACCTAGTTGTACTTGTATCTCTTTATACAAACCTAGTTGTACTTGTATCTCTTTATACAAACCTCGTTGTACGTGTATCTCTTTATCCAAACCTAGTTGTACGTGTATCTCTTTATACAAACCTAGTTGTACGGCTTAAACTTTGTCGTGGACATCGTTAGTCAGGATTTTATGTTGTGAGTTAAGGGTCCAACTGCAGGCAAAACGTCAAAACAAACTTGTAATCCAAAAACTGAAGAGTTATATCCCGTTGAACGACCAGCATGGTTTCTAAAACAACCTACATGGAAACACCGCTGTTTGTTGTTTTAAATGTTAGGTTGTTACAACAACGTTCAAAAATTGATGATGCTGTATAAAAAAAGAAGTATAGTATCTGCGTTGATTTGTAACTGAAGGAATATCTATGCAGAATGGGCTTTTGATTGTATTTGAGCTTAATGGAAAAAAAACCTGTATTTTAAACAATAAAGAAACGGGTTGCTTTTAAAATATATTAACTATCGTTGTTAACGAACCCAGATGGAAATGCACCGAGGTATTGATGTGTGAGTAACCGGTGTATCTTGAAGCCCATGCGGCCGGATAGGTGACCCAACACCTTTTCTCTTCATGACGTATTCGAGTCGATCGCGACGTCGTTAGGCTGGAGAGAGATTTCGCAGTCTGGTGATTTTAGAAATTTAATTCTTCGTTAAAAGTCATTTTTTACAAATACAAGTGTACAGTTTTGTATATAGTGCAGAAAATATATACTGGTTAGCCGGACGGAAGTGGGTCGTTAACTAACATATTGTACGTTTGTAAATCTCTTCAATCTCTTGAAATCACACTCACATAACAACATTTTGATTTTATCAGGATAGGTCAACACGTAGGCTCATCCACTAGGGTGTTTGTCTCATTCAATAACCCGTCTATCACTCAAAACGTTCTTAGGGACTAAGCAAGCTAAGGTCGATGCAGGTTAAAGTTCACATGCACTTTACTGACCACAGACGGGGAGGTCACAGCTTCTGTTCACGTATGTATGTAACGTACAGTCCTACAATCACAATACGTATACCAGCGTCAAATAGAGACACGTCGGGGCTATTATACGAACTTGTGTATATATGATATGTAAAGCCATACCTCGTATATGTGTGAACACCAGTCAAATCTACCCATAGTGTTCGCGCATGCATTGTATTTAGCTTTGCACAATATAAACGAGAACAACAACACCACCGAACATTGGACGTGTATGTTTCCAGTGGTAATATGAAAGCGAATAGACGATAATGGCATATACGATATGGAATGGCAGGGAATTTACATATAAACATTAGGTTAAGATGACAGAACTTGAGAACTTGTTCACTGACACACAGAGCACTGTTTATTGATGTGTGACAAACACATTGACACTCCACATGTATCATCCGAGGGAAGGACATGTACGTTTCAAGGTCAAAGTTGAAGTGAAAACCGCCATAATACATCCAATAATATAAACCTTGTCATACTTTTCCTGTAATGATTAAAATATTTTCGGAAAAACCTTATCCGATTCCCGGAATTCCATGATCTAAATATAGTCATTTCACTTCACTGGAAATAGATTGTAATGGCCGACGTAGCTATGCAGTTGAAGTGCTGATTTAAATAGGTGAGTACTGGTAATGTCCTTGTTTGTCACCGTATCAGTGTATCAGTGTGTGAAGGTACACTCTGCATTGTGTAACTAAAGCGACGGACAATGATATGCTCGTATCTGTCTGGTAGCGACCATATTGGGTCTGGTTCGGTCTTGTTCAGAAAAAGTCCCCCACCCCATCATTAACCATCCAACATACCGGACAGATGTGGACTAGACAGACGAGACCAAACTAGTGTGGTGTTCTCTTTTCTGTACGATGTTCTGTATTTATAGAACATGTACATTATACGTCTATGTGTGTTTGTATGTAGATATTAACCAGTAAAAGGAAGTACAACCCCAACAATCTAATCAAATAAATCATGTCTGGACAAGCACACAACAGAAAACGTATAAAACTCCTTACACATGTGTATATTTCCACACGTGTATAACAACAAACGATATATCGTAAACTCCCCCAGTGTGATAGTTGGCTCTATGGCTGTAAGATTGTGGAATGCCTATTCTCAATTTAAATGTAAAACACGTGCTTCGGTAATTATTGCACTTGCACCGAACCGCCCTCCTTCAAATATTTCTAGATCCGACCAAATTTTATAGACAGACGCCCCCATTCCCCACCACCTCCAACCTTACTGAAAGTATTTGTACCACCCCCTTCTTTTTTAAACATTTATGCGAAGGGAAAATAATATGGTTGAGCACGACAATAATTTCACACCGTTTTATATTTTCTGCTAACTGGTTCTTGCTATTCTATGGCAAGTGGCTCACTCCGTATAAAATGTTTAGGGAAGACAATTGCATGGTACCATTTCGGTATATTTTCCTCTACTTCACCATATTACATGACAAAAGTAAGTTCGTATTTTATACACGTTTACCTGACGTGAATAAAACCTGAACAAAATAATACTTCTTTATAGACAGAGTATGCTTACTGTCAAACTTCGATATTTCGAACATTATGGGACCATCTTGAAAATTTCGCAGCATCGGGACTTTGATTCACGAATACTGAACATTAAACATGATATCTTGTCGTGATTCCGAGAGATATAACGATTTCAGAGCAATCAATTATATCTTTAAAAATAAACTCACAAGTACATGTGTCTATTCACTAAAGGATTACCAGAAACGTTAACAAGAGTCGTACATACCATTGTCTTTGACATATGCCTATGTTTACATTTCAATGTAATGTACAGATAATTTTTTCCAGTTCAATTTATAAGTTGTAATTTTTAATGTTTTCATAACGAACGGACCTTGATTATGCTTCGAAACAACGAGAAATTCGATGTATTAAAGTTCGATTCATAAGGAAAGACTTGAGACTTCGGTATAAGTTCGACACATCGAGAAATTTGAATCTTCGAAGTTCGACTTATGGAAGTTTGATTCAATGTATCTTTTCTTATAGAATCAAAATGGCAGCTCCTATGGAGTGTGGTGAGGGTATGTCCGTCTTCATATCCTACAGCGAGGAGGATATAGACCTGGTGAGGGAGATACAGCAACGCTTAAAAGATAATGGTAAGGTGTAAAACAAAAAATATGTTTTTTTCAGAAATATGTTATATAACAGAAAAAAGGTAGATAGGTAGGCAAATTGTTTAGAATTTCACTAATCAACACTATGCTTTATACCATATTTTACAATGCATTGACTGCATTGTCTATTAGTTGTCAAGAATGTGGTCAGACTCCCAGAACAGGACGGAAGTACATTTTAATGAGGGTATATCATACTTGCCAATTCTTCCTATTTAGGAGGGAGATTTTGGACCCTTAAATTTAGTATTTTCAACTAGTGAATTTGCTAATCTATTCCTAAATCCTAAGATCTAACAAATTTCATCTGAAAGAACAACTCGCACAATGTCATTTCAAAGATTTATTTTGTCTCTAGGGGGTATACACACATTTAATTTCTCCCCCATGGAAATTTTAAAAAGTTGCCAATTATGAAATGTGAGCTGACTAATATGTTAATCTTGGATACAAGTAGGTGATGTTCTAGTGTCAGCAAGAAAATCTAGTATAAGCTCGCCAATGTATAAAATATCACAAGTACGTCATACCTATATTAAGAAGTTGTTATGTTTCATAAAACAATTTCGAAAGGTAAATGGAGTATCCGATTCAAACATGAGACAACATCAGGTATTACAGGACTAAGTTGGATTTTAATGGATAACGATAAATATTTACATCGAATGTAATCTAAAAAACACAATACATTTATGCACTGTATTTTGTATAAACTATTAACAGGTTAATAAGCTCTGTTTATTGTTGATTATGTCATTGCTGCGGTAAAAGACCTGTTTTGGTCAGTGAGAACTTTTAGCTAAATTATTTAGAAAAAACCTGACAATGAATGCATCCCAAGTCGCCCTTTTCAGTTGGAAATCGTTTGATGTGAGAAGAACAGATAGAATGTTTGTTGATGGGGTGTGTAAACATCCATATTCCATAATTTCCTAGTTGTCGAGCTCCACTGTGAAAACAGAATATTTCACGATACCAGATTATAGTTCTTGTGTGACGAAGAAAAGTATTAAGGGAGTCTTTCTTATATGCTAAACCATTTTATCGAAAGTGCATCTGGAATCATCCTCGATACTCCAGGGGTTACGTTCACTTTCCTCTCTACACCCCTGGAATCATCCTCGATACTCCAGGGGTTACGCTCACTTTCCTCTCTACACCCCTTGGATACGTCAATTGAAGGGTTTGTTCTCCTTTCTCCCACTTTTTTTCTGATCAAAGGTATTATATCAACACTGGAAAACAATAGAGGTGTCATTATAGTCTGTTCTGGTATAGTACAGGTAGATTGTTTACCTGTATTTACCTGTTCACCAAAAGGAAATACTGTGTTGTTTTAGGAATATTTAACAAATATATTTCCTGGTTTTCGTAATATTTACTGGAATTATGAATAAATATATACAATATTCCAGTTATTACTTAATAAAAACATATCAAAATACATTAACTGAAAACCTGCTTTTATTAACTTCATATTAAATCAATTTTATACATTTTTACTCTACATTTACATGTATGTTATATATATATTTCATAAAATAGAACTAAATTTAGCAAGCAATTTATGATAAAGATAATCAGACAGTGATCATATATATGCAAAAACAGATGCAAATCTGGGAATAAATGTACACATGGAACTCTTAGCACTGGTTGATAATATCAATCATATTCATAAAATGCACACATGCACAAAGATACATGATATAAAACTAATATAATAGCACTAACTTACGAAAGGTGAAATATTGGAAAGTCCATAAAAAGCACAAATAATGAAAAGTCCATAATTTTAAGAAATCCTAACAGCGCACCAAATAAAAATTCCATAACAAGCACATTTATCACAATGTCACTCTAAATACAAATTATGGAATGCTGTGTCGGCGTACTGGATTACATCTGTTGTACCATTCTCCAAGCGTTCCTTTAGTTGATTAAGGTGGCGGTCGTTGTTACGTTAGCGTTTTGCTCTTGGTCTGAATTGTCCCCTTGCTGCGTGTTGGATGCGCGTTATCTCGTTGTATTTCCTGGAAGACGCGGATGATGCTGTAGATGTTGGGGTGGGCGTGTTCCATTTTCTCCTTCAGTTTGCTGTGCCATCCCTCTGTGTGGTTGGTTGTTATGGATCCCTCGGTCTCAAAGTGGTTCCAGAGTTGTTGATCTCAGTCAATCAACTGTGTCACAACGTAATCTGTAAATGGAGTGGTGTCATGTGGAACATCAGCATCGTCTATGTCCTCGAGCGCATTGAACCAGACATCTTCTACATGGTCTAACGGAACAAGGTATAGTACAGCGGCACGCCGTACAAGTTGTCGGACATCATCGTTGTTGGCGTAGAGTTGTTGAAGTCCGGTCTACTGTACTTTCCTCCAAACACACTGCGTATAGTGGAAGAAACAGCCCTTAAAACTCACAGCTGGAAACGCTGCGCGGATGGCGTTCTGGGCAGCACCCTCAAACTCCAGGAAAAATAATCTAATGAGTGATACCTAGTTATTAATAATTACACTGAAGACGCATTTATTGGCAAAAAAGATTCTCTAAAAATAATGCTCCAATATGAATTTGCTTCACCCTAAATCGAATCAATTTAAATTTGAATGATTCAAAGCATTATCATCTATATGTATACTTTAAAGTATATAAAATACATACAATATTTGTGGATTTCACGTTACTGTTTTGTATAGATCTAGCTAATGAAAATGGTATATGATATGAAACAACTGGCTAAAAATGATGAAAATAGACTATATCAAAGTATATGACAGTACTGTATACACAGGTAGAAACCAGGTCAAATATATATGAAACAGACTATAACTGCTATATCACACCATTACTGCCTCTATGTATTTTTTAAAAAGTGGGAGAAAGGAGAACACACCAATTGAAGGTACGCGGCTACCTTATTGATTGATGTCAGGTAAAATAACCTGCCCAATCACTAGGCTGATACTTATGGAAGGGGATCACCGCCATTTTTTTTTTTTTTTTTTTTTTTTTATAGAATTAGTTACTTCTGTTTTGAAATCTAATTCTATGTACATTTGTATTATTTCCCTAGTTGATAAGTGTCTATTTTCCATGCTTTGCACATTTGTGTTGTTGCACTCGTTTACAAATATTCCATACTATGCCACTTTTCATTCCATGCTATTCTAGTTTTACCGATCGCGATTTCGTGTTAGCTTAGAATTCACTTCATTCTGGGTTTAATAAACGATATCTATGTAGACATCCAGATTTGAGTCCGTTTTGAAACGATCAATTTGTTTGTTTGTTTGTTTGATTTTGTTTAACGTCCTATTAACAGCTAAGGTCATTTAAGGACGGCCTCCCCTGTGTGCAAGATGCATGCGTGTAGTGTATGTGTGTGTATTTTGGGAGGCTGCGATATGTTCGTGTTTGTCTTCTTGTAATAGCGCGGAACTGATGCCGACTTNGAGCGTTAAGCAGGAGTAGAAACTGCCATTTTTAAAGACTTTGGTATGTCTCGGCCAGGGGACAGAACCCAAAGCCTTCCTCACAGGGGCGAACGCTCAACAAATGGCCAAAAGTGAGGCATTGTCAAGGGAGACATTAGGAAAAAGAAAGTTATTTAGAAAGGAGAGAAGAGATAAGGTCCCAAATTTAGTCGCCTCTTACGATCATGCAATTTGGGGCAGCAGGTACAATTCTTACGCCCTACCTGCAGGGCAGTTGAAACGATCAATAATAAAAGTTCGAAACTAATGTTTATATTGGAGAGCCGCTTGTCGTCTTAATGAGGAACTAGAATTTTGGTTCTCATTAAGACAACAGCCGGCGCTTTGATCGCCATCGAAATTTGCGGAAAATAATGCTCGCTCCCTTAAACCGGAAGCATACCCGATTGTGGCAGCATATTTTGGAAAATGCAGTCAGCAGTACGGTAAGTCTTGGTTATGAGTTATGACAGCAATTGAACTGTATTCTATTTAATTTTGAGCCAAAATTGTTTGTAGCGTAGCAGAAAATCGTCATGTTTTCGACAGTTATGATATCGTAGCCATAACGAAATCTCACATTAATTTTGGTAACTGACAAAGTGTTAAACCTGCACACAGGTGTTCGTTACAAAAGCATGTCCAGGGAGTGTGTCCAGGGAGTCTATAAAGATGCCTATTTGGGACGAATTAGTGTCCATGGAGATTTCCGCGCCCCCAGGAATTCGTTAGTCACTTATTTTACTTTTCCTCTTTTGAGTCATATAAAGTATGCACCTAGGTGTGCGCAAAATTTTATGTCGATCGTAACAGTAAAAAGTACCGAAATACATTGATAACTATTATGTTTACGAGGGAGGAATGAATGTCCAGGGATGTTCCCGCGCACCCAGGAAGTCGTTATTTGATTGATTTCAGTATTTTCTTCTGATTCATTATGTTTATTCACATATCTAGCTGTGTGTAAAATTTCAGTTTGATCAAATCAGGGCAACGTATCGAAATACTTCGATAAATAAACTATCATGCTTATGATAGAGGTATGAGCGTCCAAGGAGTGTCCAGGTAGGTTTTCGCGCGCCCAGGACTTCGTTGATAGATTTATTTTAATGTTTTGTCTTCTGATATATAAATTGTATTTATTTACCTAGATATGTGCAAAATTTCAGGTCTATCATAACATAAACGTCTCACACGGGTACTGGACCTGCTGAGAACAAAACCAAGTTCACAGCGATAATTGGATAATTACTGCCGATGTTTACCTGTACATACAGTGTAACAGGTAGACTTACCTGTACATACAGCGTAACAGGTAGACTTAACTGTACATACAGTGTAACACGTAGACTTGCCTGTACATACAGTGTAACAGGTAGACTTCCCTGTACATTCAGTGTAACAGGTAGACTTACTGTACATACAGTGTAACAGGTAGACTTAACTGTACATGCAGTGTAGCAGGTAGACGTACCTGTACATACCGCGTAACAGGTAGACTCACCT